TGAATTCGCTAGTTTTGAATATTTTACTGAACACCTGAAGTTAAAAAAAAAAAAAAAAAATCATCGAGAAGAAACTTGTGTACTTTCGCATTATCGAATATAATGAACCGTAAATATTAGTCCCCAGGGGTTAGTCCCCATCGTTGTCTCATTGTAAGTATGGAATGAACACCCTTTGAATGTTTTCTACACGTTTGGATGATTTGGTATAGTAATTAATAATCGAAGTTATGCAACACGGTATTAAATTTGTAGTTTGAATCCGACTTTGGTTTCAGATAAGACACGAGAATTTGATGTATTTGTTTATGTGCAAAATCCTATTGATCGCGATGAAGCGCTATTTTCTTTGGAGTTGTTTTAGTTTTAATCAAATTAATGTTAACTTGGAGACGATAAAAAAATAATTTTCCCTTAATACACTTACCTTTTGCTCCTACTTTTAGTTGCTTTTCCCCTTCATGTAGTGTCAGCGCACTTTTCCGTGATATCCCTCGGAGACCTGTCTCACAATTCGTGGGAGAGAACTATTTGTCTTGAAAAATTATGTGAATTGAAATTGAGTTGCGATTACTTTTTGTAGGTACTATAGACCAAGAGGTAAAATCACAAGAAAATTTTAAATTAATGGGTTTGTAAAGTATAGGATATCGAGATCTTGGTTATCCTCACTAAACAAAGAGCATTTATATTTTAAATTTTTCGTCAACACCGTAATGAAGTTAAAACCGTATAAACTTTAAAAACTTTTAAGTATAACCTATGCCTGTACGTGTTTTCAATGTTGAACTGTGAGCCCACGTGTCAAGAAAAAGAGATCTATCCAAGAGTATTCTCATTAGTCTTAGAAAAAGTATTTAATGAAACACGATGTAATAGGTGTTGATACACTTGTATGAATTTTAAGACTAATAATAATAATTAATTTTAATATCGTTATTATTATTATTATTATTATTATTATTATTATTATTATTAACCTGATTAATCCCTATTAGGGCAAGGGCCTCATACATTATTAAAGGAAGGAGGCTTGCATTATAAAGTTGATTCCCGAGCAGCCACCTCAGAGAAATTGTTTTTAATGTATTTCTCCAATTTTTTCCATTCTGTACGGTCTTTTGTAACTCTAGACCATTGATTATCCTGAAGTTCCCGAAAGTCATCGGTCCATCTACGATGTTGTCTACCAACGTTCCTCTTCACTATTCGTGGGTCCCACGAAGTAGTTCTGGATGTACATCTGTCATCTTGGAGTCTTGAGATGTGGCTTCCCCACTTCCATTTTAATTTCCTTTTTCCATTTTTTCCCTTTCCATTTTTTTGTATCGCAATATCACTTAATATTCGTTTATTATTATGTACCATTACACTATTGTTTTTCTCATACAGAAAAACAGTATTTTATTTTTTACTGTTTAGCGTTACAGTCCACTCGAACCTTTTGAGACGTTTCTAAGCTATTGCTATTTTTCAATCCTCAAATTAATGAATTTATAGTATAGGATTTTTTAATGAAAATATTTTCGCTCTACATTTGGATGGGTTGATTTTAGTTTTCCATTGCCGAAACCATTCTGCAAGTGTGTTTATATTATCCTGAAGTTTGTTTCTGTCTGTTGTTAAGTTTTGATGCTATGTAAATATTACAGTGTCATCTGCGAATAATGCTATTTTTTAATGCTTTAGTTGTGGAAGATCTGAAATAAATATATTGAATAGGGCTGGTGATAGAGGTGATCCCTGAGTCACATTGGCCGTAATATTATAAACAGGAGACTGTAGTAAGTTGACTTGTACTTTGAAACTGCGATTTACTAGGAAGCTTTTTATTATTTATTGTAAATATTGCGGGAATCTATATTGCCGTATTTTATATAAAAACCTTGGTGCCATACTTTATCGAACGCTTTTTCTACGTCCAGAAATAGTGCAAATGTATGTTTTGATTTTAAAAGAATTAGTAGTGATGGAATCTGTTAATCTTAATAGCTGATGTATTGTTGAATGATTGTTGCGGAAATCAAATTGTAACGAGAGTATAATATTGTTACTGTGTATGAATGTGTTGATTCTATTTAGTATTAATTTTTGGAAAATTTTTAAAAGTGGGTAAAATATTTGATACTTACTTCGCTGTATGCAGACGAGGCCATTCATACAAATCGACGATTTCTGGAATATTGTTCTAAATAATTTGTTTTCAATTGATAACAACTTACTACCAAATAATCAGCCTTATTTCAAAACAAATATATAACATTTATTAATTTATCTGTTGATAGACTTTTAAACAATGAGCTCATTTACTTTTAGTTGATATTGTTTCCAATGATAACCGCTTCTTTGCGCAATTCCAATTAAATTGTTCTTGTGAATCGCTAAATTCTTTGCCTACTGATCAAATAAATACAGTTCTTTATTGCTTATATACGGAATCTTCTTGCGCCTTTGTCACCTCGAAAGAATCTGAACCTTGGTAAAATGTTCAAGGTGCCTGTGGCCTCTTCTCTCGTTGTCGTAGCCTAATTATTGCCTAAATTTGCTTGTATTACCGAAGGCTTCCCTGTTTAATAGATATCACCGAACTGTGTTTCGTAATATTTTATAGCTCCTCATGATTTCACCCAATAATGCCTAATTAATATGTACGTATAAATTACACTTCCCTATCAATCCACCGGAGATGGGTGCCTCTCCCCGCCACTTTCCTAACATATATAAATTAATTATTTTGCAATTATATCAATAACGATCTCATCCCTGATCTACAATAATATTTTACAAATCGGATTTCCTTTTCATTGTTTGACGGGAGGAGGTGGCTCAGTGATTCAATTTGCCACTGCAGAGGTCCTACGTTCGAGTCCCGACCGTAGCAAGATTTTCGACACTAGCTTGTCAGCCAGGTCGAATTCAGTCGCTGGGTGAGGATTCTAGAGACTGGCTGCTCTGATTAGCAGCTTTGTGGTTTCTCCGATAAACACGACGAATGACAGTGCAGTACCCTAACAAATGGGCCACGGACGGCGCGCGATCTTTCCTTCCTCTTCCTTGTCCTTTCCTCACTCCTTACATACATACACTAACATGTATTACACTACCGCCGGAAGACCGGTCGGGAACTTAGAACTTGCCCCGGCTGGGGCGTTGCTTAGCTGGTGGGAGATACCTAGTTGGGGAAACCCACTAACGGATGGTAGGTCGGCGCCGGATCTCGCCAACCAACGGGGGAAGATCATCGCTACCTCCAGAGGAAATACATGCCCTACACTTATGGAACTAATGATCTCAGTAGACCTCCGGAATTACTTACCAACCAAACTTCCATTGTTCGAATATACTACAATATTATCATTATAATATTATTATTATTATTATTATTATTATTATTATTTCAAAATAGAAATGAATATTACTATTCGCCTAAAGTCAAAGTTGGATTCTTCCTAAAGTAATCACTCCCACTACATTTACTAATGCGTTCCCATCCAACGCGAAGACTGGCGCATACCTAACTGCGATATGCTTGGCTCGACGGTTATCAACGTAAAAAATAGATTCTTTTTCTTCTGGTCATGAATATGCGATCTGTTGATGTAAGCTTTTTCATCTACACGGGGCTTTGTATTTCTAATTATGTGAATAGTATTACTCCCGCAAGTTTTCTTGATACACGAGCTCCCTAGTCCTCATCCAGCGCTGAATAGCACGGCACGTTGACATACTTAGGTTTGACTCGGAACGGCACGTACTCATTTACAATGCTGGCAACAACCACCTCGTACTTTCAAAACAATCGTAGCATTTCTAGTGCCATGATTTGGCGAATTAAGTTCATGCCCACAGTTGGTACGCCCTTTTCAACCGTGACGTAGCCACATCCTTCCTCTCCCCGCACCCCCCGCTATGGAATATCAAGAAAACTTGCGCGTATAGTACACGAAATGAATCCATTCACACAACACCCCCTGGAGATATCGCCAGGGGGTGTTGATTTATATCCCCCGCGACTGTTGTTTGTTTACATTCGGTTACTATAGCAACCTGTCTATATTGCTCATATTGCAATCCTGCATGTACAAATGAATAAATATTAAGTTATTTATATCAACAGGAGAGGGAATTTGGCTTGTCACACTTTATACGGGATATTCTTGAATCTCTTTAGAATGGATCATGGGTCTATCTCTAAAAGTATTTGATACCTTTTTTAATTTTATTTATATTGGACTCGTTTGTAGAGACCATTCATGTATATGTTATGACAATTAATGTACTTCCAGCATTTTGGGATTTTCTATGACGTTCTTAATGTGTTTTTTGGGATACTGTTGTTTCGTCATCGAATCTTCATTAGAATCTGTATTAATATTTCTTATCAGACGAATAACTTTAAAGGATAATTTATATAGATATGTTAACAAATCTGACTTCAATTTATTGACAAAATATACAGAGTATGGCACAGGTCATAGAAGATAGAGTTGAATGTGACCATGTGTGTATAGGAAAACCTTAGACATTTTTTTATAAATTTACATATATTCTATATAAAAAGATACAATAAGAAACCTTCAGGACACTTTCACATCTATTTTGATTAATATCTTAAATGAGCGTTCGAACTACAAATTCAAACAGATGAGTTTTATTTTTCTGTCTGTAGCCATTTAGGCAGCTCAGACAAGGAACTTAGCGTCTTTGCAGAGACCTTTTAACACATTTGCGTTGCCTAATACTTTATTATGGCCAAGAGGACAATTCAGAATTGTCTTCTTGCCAGAAAAGTAAAAGTTAGAAATTTCATGATATGATAAAATTCATCAAAAGTTGCCATCATTTACCGGTGCTCATTCAAAAGATGTGTGATTTAAATACAATGTTTCCGTTGAACATCCAGGGGGCAAGCCAGAGAGCATTGTTGCATTATCGTGAACGGTATGTTCTAATAAATGTAAAACGAAAAGCATGTAAATGGTTTTTTTTTTTTCCTTCAGAGAAATTTTTGTATGGAATGTGATTACTTTGCGTCTATTGTTGACTTTTACTCAAGGTCAGATCTTCGCAAGAATTGAACATATAAAACACGTTGTAAACTCACAATTTTGTTCTGGCCATAAGCACAGATATTGGCGGAACGAATTATAGTGGGCATCTTTCCGGCGTGCAAAAAGTGCAAGAAATGGGAATTTTATTGCTCTAGAAAAATCAAAGCAACTAGAGAACTGTGAGAATGTGGGTGAATATTTTCACTTTATTAATTTTTTAGTCAGGTGATTGTTGCGCCAATCGAAACATTATTTCAATTATAAAATGTGCGTTGTGCACCATAAAAAATAGTTATTTGGTAGAAAAGGTATAATGCAGAAGAGAAACAAGCAAAATGAAAGACGAACTATTTACATAAGTTTTGGAGTGAGGAATCTTTTCTACTGTAATAACTATTTGAATATAGTGTTAAAATTAATATCTAGTTGGAATGAAAAATTTTGACATTCCCTTTGAGGATTAAGAGATTTCTGGCTTTGTAGAGTCTTAAAACTTTCAAATTGGAGGGAAATGGAACGTATGATTAGAAAACCTTTTTACCGGGGCGGATACACAGCAACCTTGCAGGTCAGGTATAGTGCTTCGATTGCCTGCTTCAATCGGCGGCAAACGGCGTTAAAGAGGTACTCTGCAATCGCTGCAAACTGTACTTTCGACATTGGACTGTGGCATACAGTAAGTTAGGGAAGACACTGAAAACCAACTCTTAAGGCCATTGCAGCCAAACGTCAAAAGTACTCTTAACATACAGTGTATTTCAAAGACCTAATTGGGAGTTATTTTTATTGTGTTGGGAGCTCAAGAAAAAGGAGGAAAATCGGCACTAACGTTAAGTAAAAATCTTTAATAAAACCATTACTTCCATCTGGTTTGTTGGATTTTAGTTAAATCCAGTTTCTCAAAAGTTTTGATATGAAGTTCTCGCAATATAACTCATTAAAAATTCTGTTAAAGAGTTTACAAAAAGCATCAAACCCGAGAAAATACTAGTCGTTTTCTTTAGGAAACAGACACTAGACATGAATATTCTCTCGTCAGTACTCAAACATGAGCAGCTACTTTTCCTCCTTCTCTTCAGTCTCTCAACGTAGCTTCTCATCCTCCCGTTTCTGAAACACCCTGTACGCTGGTGAGGGCACGCCGACACCGCCAGTGATTATTTTTTGGACCAACAAAGCATACGGATAAATAAAATACATGAAATGCGCGCCTATTTATTCAATTAAAACAGTTACGCGTAAGTTAAATATCTGTATTTTGAAGCAAAAGGCGTTGAAAATTTTGCATTAGCTGATCTCAAGAACGTTTTATGTTTATCGCCGAGGCCGGAGCCTCGCCGTTGACTTGGAAATGCGTGAGTGAAATAAGTCATATCGCCCATATCAAATTGGGGATTTTTTGTCAAGATAACTTAGCCAAAGTACTTCAAAACGTTCTTTTGATATCACAGCCAACTATATAGCGCATCCCAGGCTTGTTCCATTTATCCATTTGCTTTAGCTGCCCGCTCACAACAATCGAGTCGCGCGTGGCGCGTGGGCGGAGCCGGCGGCTGGACGGCGAGTGGGTGCGGGCCCGCGGGCGGGGAGCCGAGGGCCGCGTTAGGCCTTGCCCGCGGGCAGCGGGGCGTGGGCCATGTAGGGCGGCGCGGCGGCCGGGTGGTAGGGCGTGTGCGCGGACGCCGCGCTCGGCGCCGACGGCGCGCGCCGCCGAGCACGCGCAGCACAGGCAGGCGCCGCCGCGCCGCCGACAGCAACAGCGCACCAGCATCGCCGCGTCGCAGCAGCCCCGGCACCGTCATGCAGATGCCCGCCGTCTGCGCTGCAAGCACACCGGAGCCACGCGCCGTTACCGCACCGTGTCGGATTCGGCCGGGCGTTGGCAAAAGGAGCACAACGGCAGGATTTGTGGGGCGTTGGGCTCCGTAAGATGGTTGTGCGGTTTCTACATGCATCATTTAGTTCTCTCTCTCTCTCTCTCTCTCCTCTCCTCCAAAACCACATTCACAAACACACACACACTTTCTCTCTTCTCTCGCACACATATTCATACGTCTCCTCTCTCCTACTTTTCAATTTCACTTGTTTAATTTCATTTACCTCTCTTGTTTTGCGTCTTTTCATTCTCATACTATTTCTCTCTCTCGCTCCCTTCCCCTCTCTCTCCTTCCTCCCTCTCTCACCTTCCACATCTCTCTTTCTATCCTTCTTTCTCACTATTTTCAATTCCTTTTCCTCTTTTTTTGCATCTTTTGATACCTACTATGATACTCAATAACACCATATAGCCAAGTACCTAATGAAATAAGTAGTCGTTTTTACTTTGCACAAAAATTCAAACATTTCGCGATAGTTTATTACCGTATTTAATGCCATTTTGCACCCGTACTTTACTCAGAATAAATACCTTTTTATATACCTATTTTAGTAAATATAAAAGACTTCTTGCTTTCCTATTTCGAGCAAAATTAATATCTGAACTTTCGGGCTCTACTTGTGAATAATTCGAGAGCCGCAAAGCACTAGTACAGTGCCAGGCGCCCTTCCTCTTGCCAAAGGAACGCGCCGGCGAGTTTTCTCCGATTTAAATAGAGTAACTTCTGGCGTTTTCGATCATCTGGTTATCCAACCAGGGGCTTCGATACCAAAACTTAAGTCGTAACGAAACTCCCAATTCGACAACCGCGTCCGGCGGATCAAAAGTCGGAAGTCGCTCCATTTCAACCGCCGTGTGGGTACTCACGCGTGCCGAGGTTGATGACGGTGGCGGCGCGCGGCGCGGCGTCGTCCTGCAGGTCGTCGGGGCTGACGACGCGGAAGGAGCGGAACACGCGCACGGGGTCCCCGCGGGTCGCGTTGTCGGCCGCCCCGTCGCTGCCCTCCGCCGCCCACAGGTCGCGCCGCCGGCGCCGCAGCTGCGGATCTGCGCTCTGCGAACAACGACGCCAGTGCTCAACACCTCGCTCTCGACAACATCCGCATGTACGGGTCTGTACGGGGTACGTGGATCTTGGATCTCGACATCGCTATGGCAGCTTTTTAAGTACAAATCTCAGCAATATGCTTTATGATGGAAAATGATTGAGGAGGCTATAGCTCGCGGCTTGCGGGTTCAAAGCCCGCCTGCGTATGGATGTTGGCTTTAGTGTTGTGACAGGGTGGGGCTTGACCCAACCATGTACCACCTTCAATTCTTTCCCTGTGCCCTCCCTGCCCGATAGTGTATGGCTGTCAGGGGGTTAGAAGCTCCATATGGACCTCAACGTGAGCGCCATCTGGCCCCCATCAAACCTCTCTACCTGTAAAAGGTTTTAAAAACGTCAGTTCATAACCAAAAGGTTGAGGTCGTAAAGCGTCCAATGGTGATGATGAGTGAGTATTGGTTGTCGCATGTCAACTACTGATATCATTAGTATCGTAAGAGTAGTGCTTATGGGTGGCTACAGCAGGTGACAGTGTTCCTCCTTTGGTGGAATATGCAGTTCGATCACGTCGGCAAACAGGTTTTTCAACCTCTGGGTGTCTACCGAGTTAGAACATACTATAATCTCCCGACTTGTCTCCCTAGAAGTGTAATTGTGTGTACAATGGAGAGAAAGAGCAGTCGGCCGCTAGGATTCTCCTCTTGATAGCTATTCGATCCGGAACTCGACGCAGCTAGGAGGTTGAAAGTCTTCAGTTGTTTTCTCTCAGGTATTATTTTGAGTCCCTTGAAATCCATCTCCACACTTTGGAAATGAAGTTTAATACTACGCTGAATTGTATTCGCGATTGTCGTTAACGTATGGTTTTTCATGGTATGGTATTATTAATATGATAATATTAATTTAACATTGATTTTTATACAATCATCAGTTACAATTAATATAGCAATTTGAAATTATTTTTAAAAGTATGCTCATTATTATTATGGATTATTCATTTTATTGGTCCCCAATTCAATCAGAGATGGTTTGCCATAAGAAACAAATGTTGTCTAGATGGAGTAAATGAGTTTATTTACTTCATTTAATATTTGTGAAATAACTGTTTTTGAAATATTTTGGAAACGGTCAAGAGGCTAATAATATACTAATATTTATAAAGAGAGCCTTTAAATGTGGATATTATATTCTCAGTATCCTGGTTTTCCCTTTGCATATAAAACAAATTTCTTTTAAATTTTGAAAAGATTTATTTATTTGTATTCAAATCTATTTTATAATAATGTCTTGAAATTAGTATACTTAATTGATATCGGAAGGCAGTTTCCAGTTCTTCAAGAAAGCAATTACATTAGTATAAATACTTCAACTTACCTGAGCATCTGGGCAAGTTTGGCAGTCTGTTTTGCAAAGTTCTACATTGCATTCCAGTGTCAAATCCATGACATCGGGGAACTTGAAAGCCTGTAATAAAGGTAATAATTAGACAGAATTCGACAAAAATGCTTGTTATTCACTAAAGTATGGATCAAATTATTGCATTAACTATCTACGTTATCATCAGATAATCAATATTTCCTCCCAAGATTTCCTTCCCAGATAAAAATATAATTCTGGTGCTATTGGTATTAAGAGTTTGCATTTACAATTCCCATAAGGTTCCCAACAATGGAACCCGTTACGAGTCCTTATATGTTTCGTGATTTCCGGAGGATGGGCTTTGAGCCTCACTTTACTTTCCAGTGACAAGTCCCCAGCAGAGGTAGAAGAACCTGGAGTTCAATCTGGCGCGGGACACGATGGTGTGGAGATAGTTCGATGTAAATTTAAATCTTGAAGATTGAAACGCATTAAATATATTTAGCCCTTAAGTAGTCGCGTCTCCCTAGCCCTTAAGTAAGCGTACATTACCACAAACATTGGTATCGCAGCTAAACTGAGGATGTATTGTACAGCTACGCTCGTGATTTTCCGCGGGTATATAAACAAGTTCTTCTTTTGGAATTAATGACTCAACCACTACATTAAATTAAGGAATAATGGAAACTCTTAATATATAATACTTAAAATAAATAAATAAATTATTTAGGCATCATATGGATATGGTAGTTGTTTGGTAAACAGTAGTTTTTTGGTAAAAGGTAAAAACGGTAAAGAAAATGGATAAAGGATGTGGAATATAACATATATTGGATGGTGAATAAAAAATTGTCTCCTGTTAAAATAGGGGGGTAAAGTTAGCTGGGAAATAAAATTACCAATTTAATACGATCAATTTCACTGACTTTGCTCGCGCATTTGCAAGTCGACGGCGAAGCTCCGGCCTTCGACCTCCGCAGTTAGCACAAAACATCCTTGAGAGCAGTTAACGAAAAATTATAAATATTTTTTACATCACAGTTACTCACTTCCCTCGCAGTAATTTCTATTAGTATTACTACAAAATTAAATATGCAGATTACAGAATGTTTCAGTTGATCCATCTATCAGTTTATGCAATGAGTTCAATTTAGCCACGAGTTAGCTTTTTCTCTCTCCCCCTCCCCCTCTCTCTCTCCCCCCTCTCTCTCTCTAAAAAAAAAATAAATAAAAAAAAAAACTCGACTGCGAGAACACATCAGTTTGAAAGGTTTGTTTCAGGTAAAACTACAGAATGTAGACCCATGGATGAGCGGCTTCCACTAAACACATGAGCAGCGTCTGTGAGGGCTGGGGGACTAATGTATGCTTCCAACCACAACTGCTAAGGCCTCAGTACTGTTGGTGTAGTGAATGTTTTATCGCGGGAGGAGGCAGTGTTTCTCCTTCCGTTGGATGGTGTGATTTGGCACCAACCTACTCGTCGACTTGCGAGGGATTTCCTTCTCCAGGTATCTCTCTCCAGCGAGGGCACCGTCCCAGCCGCGACAAGCTCGAAGCTCCTCCCGGCGGGTCTCCTGACATGTGTGGTAGTGTAGAGCGTGTAAGTGTACGTGGGTGTGAGTATAGGACAAATAATGGGAAGGAAAGGTTGTGCGTAGCCCGTTTGTTAGGGTACTGCTCCGGCATTCGCCTAGTGTTGATCGGATAAACCACGGATAAACTACATATCAGAGTAGCCAGCCGTTAGATTTCTCATCGTCAGCGTAGCCGGTGCGAGGGCAGGGCTCACCTGGAAGAAGGCGTAGGCGACGACGCCCCCGGGCGAGCCCTCGGCGGCGCGCGTCTTCTGGAAGGCGCCCATGAGCTTGGGGCGGAGCACGCAGCCGCGCGCGTCCGTCAGCCGCACCTGGTTGGCGCCCGACGCGTCGTGCGCCGTGCAGTCGCGCACGCCCACGTCGAAGTCCGCGTCGCCCTCCACCGACACCACCAGCGTCATAGTCTCGCCGATCTTCACCAGCCCCGTCGCCTTGGGCGCGAACGGGCCGCGCCCCATCTGCGCACGCGCGACGCCGGTTACGGCCGGGGGATGGTACACGTGAAAGGCACTAACTCCAAAATATGGGCTTTGAGTAAAATAAAATTGAAGGAGCCGATGAAACGTTGTCTTTTCAATACATTTAGTTGTACACAAGTTACATCTTGGTTAAGTGAGAGCTTAGGCTTCCGCGGCCGGAGTCAGTATTTAGTAGGCTGTCCAGATGACGTCGCTTCCATGGCGAAGGTGCACCTTCGTCATTTCCGCGGCGTCACCCGGAGAGCCAAGTAAATACATCTTGGTTATTATCTCTACACACTTTAATCTGAAGAGTGACCGGAAGCTCCCGTTATAAAAGAATATCTACTTCACATTCTCTGTCGATATACATAAAGAATGACAGAGCCAATTTTTTCGAAAAAAGAATTGTCTTGAAGAAAATAAAATGTAAATTCGTTCTCTGAAAAACGCTTTGGCATGTGTAATGATATTAAGGATATAAATTGCAGAGGACTATCAATTATCGCATGTGAAGTTTGAAGCACAAGACATTCGTTCGAGCTGAAGATGCGAAAACATAATTCGGACCTTCCTAGAGTTTAGTTAATATGCGTAAAGTTTGGTTCGTGTTCAGCCTTCATTGTTTTGCTGCTAGAAACCGTGGTTATAATGGATAACAAAAATGCACATTAAGTAGATTAAACTGTTAATTGAATAGTAGTACCATAACCACTTAATAACCTTAAAATACCTTAGTGTGTGGCAAACGATATTTTCATCGCTCGAAGGCTTCACCGAAAACGCAGGGAAACTACGCAATATTGACTGACACCGCGCCTTTGGCTGTTGTGATGTGGCAGCTGGTTTGAATTTTGCGGCAGGAAGCAACATTTAACTCCCCTTTTGTTTTAGAAAAACTGGATCTGCCATTCTTCATGAAAATCAATTCAGAATTTGGGGCATTTCTTCTTGTAATGGGAGCTCCCGCACACTTTAATATTGATTTTAAGAAAAAAAATGGGCCGAAAGGTTGTTTTTTCCCCAACATTTTCTCGGTTCTATGACTTCGTTAAAAAGAAAAAAATCTATAATTTAGACCATAGCAGCTTCTAAAATTCAACGTTTCAACTAATCAAAATAATAGAAAAATTGGACTTACTTTCACGTGTAGGTCGACAATTTATTTATTTTAGTGGTTTAGTGGCCTTCCAACTTCTGAGGTTAGTGAGGCCCATGAGTATGAAATGGTTATATGATCACTATGATGGTGATGAGATGAACGACGATTCATCGACGGAGAAATGAGAGGCAATAGAAATGGGAGAATACCCAGAAATAAAACTTCTGAGAACTCGCTTTATCCACAAATTGCATTTGGATTATCCGGAGATCAAACCCGGGTCTTAGTGGTGCTAGGTCAAGGGTCAGGCCGTGCTCTTAACCACGTGTCAATCTTTTTGTGCTTGACGTTTGTGAGTAACAAAGCAATACCGCACGTTGCCTCCTAGCGGCGAGCAAGAGCAGCTGCTTTTCCTATGCTATAATCTACTCTTCTCTTAAATTTGGAGTGAGAAAATCAAGACGAAAGTGATGTTATTTATTTCACGTAAAAAATGTTAGGAGAAGTAATATAATCTGCGCACCTGTTCATGAGCTCCGGAATCCCTACCTCCTCTCTTTTACAACTCTTATTATAAATGAAAGTTGCAAAGAGTTTATGGCAGTATTGCTGATGAAAACTACCCCTTCATTTCTCCAGAATCTAGCATAAACGGAGCTCAAGTAAACGGATGCAGATAGTGGAACTACACTTTAATAGCTAGAAACTTTTGTAATTGAAATTTGTTATAGTGGATCTTTACATGAATATACAAGTCCTTTTGTCAGTTTTCATCCTAGTACCCCTTGTATTTAAATAACACATTAATTAGTAGCAGGTTGATATATTCGTTTTGCAATGAGGAGTGGGCACGCATGCAGAGATCACGTGGCAAAGGCGGCAAACAGCTTTGTCTCTCTCACATTCTGTTCTAAAAACATTTCTCTTATTTATCAAGCACAAAGAAAATTGGAATGCGGTATACAGGCCCTAATGAATCATTATCTTCTTAATGCATTCATATTAATGCACATTCTATCGAAGTCTTGTAGAATTGTATTTGTTGGTATGAACCAAATAGAAAATGGTGTAGTCGTCACAATTCGTACTACTCTAACTTCTTACCGGGCATGACGAAGTAACTCGTCATGAAAATTTGCTTTGTATTTGTGACTCGACGAGTTTGCACCTTCTTGGTTTGAAACCTTAGCTACTTTCGACGTCAGTAGGCAAGTCGTGATAAATCTTCATTGCTTTAATATCATATAGTACAGGGCAGGTAGAGATTAGACGTCATCGTTTTACTTTATTTGGTGAGTGATGGTTTGTTCTCACATTATTGTACTAGTTTCTTGCCAAATTCATTCCCTGTTCTAAAGCGACTGTTAGGCAAAGATATCCCCGGTTGGCGGGCCCGAGTGCCACTACTTCACCGGAGACTTCGCGTCCGCTGACGAAGTCCAATCACAGGGAAGACGCCGACAATGGCCCTGAGCGCTGCACCCACCTGGATGTCGAGGCGCGCGACGGCTGTGTCCCCGCTGAAGGTGACGGTTTCCTGGCTGAGCATGTCCACGCTCAGGTCAACCCTCAGTGCCTTGTTGATGTTGCCTTCCCACAGGCAGCGCACGCGCCTGACAGTATCCCACACCTACACAACAGAAAGGCCAGTCCCAGAATGCATATTTTTAAAAAAGCGTCGCCGCATTTGAAAGGATTGACTAAGAAAGCAAACAAAAAAAGTTAATTAACCAATAAAGAACACGTCCTAAAAGATATGAAAATTTAGCTATTCAGTAAAATTTCAAAATAATCTTTTTTTTTATTAGCAATTTGAACGCATCATTGTATAAATTATATTTGCTCAATTTTAAGGATATATAAAATATTTGTTTTCGTCTTGATAAAATATCCGGAGTTTTGATTCTTATTGTGAAGGATTTAATATGGAAAAAATAATAATAATAACATATTATTTACAAACCATGAATGCTCTCGTCTTAAGAAAAATCATATTACATCCAAATTATTATTACCAAATTCATATATCCAAATTCATTACTTACTTACATTACTTACTTCATAACTTACTTTCATACTTCATTACTTACATAAATTCATTCATTATATCCAAAACATTATATCCAAATTCACATTACATGTATGCCAGTTTAGCGATTTGGAAAAGTCATTATACAGTATGAATTTGTTATGCGGAATGTAATGAAATATTCAATAGTTGTTTGCCTCTTCATAAAATATACCAATTTTTGAGCTTACTGAAAGTGTGCTTGCCGGAAGTTAATTTTTATTTCACGAAAAGAAAAGTCGTTCCTCCGCAAAATTCCCAATCTCTACATTTACATTCTTGTCATGCTGAAGCGTTGTTTACTCGCTACAGGCGCAACTCCTGCGTAATGAACCTTTGTTTTCATGTTCACATTATTACTCGAAGTTAAAAGAAAGCACATTGCGTAACATATTTCCATCATTCTATTCGTTACTCAGAGATTCTTTCTTCCTACCTTCACCTACTTTCACTGTCACGATAGCGTTACTTCAGCAGCTTATGTGTGCACAAACAAGTGCCCGCCTGTTGCGAAAGAACCTTACTCATTAACATATCCATTGCTGGAAAAATAAAGCGACGGAAATAAGATAAGAGACATCACATGGCAATGAAATGTTGACACGAACAACATTCTTTGTGGAACACCCATTTCTTCATTTCTTGGCTCGTTTTATAAAATTAAAGTTCATGTAATATTGCTAAATGTTTTCGAATACTGACTTATCTGGACTTTTCTCTTTATGTTTGTCTCTCATTGTATGAATAATGCAAAAATAACTTTTGTATAGTAAAATTAATATTTGTGTATAGTCAAAAAGACGACTATACCGACAATTTTAATATTAAGACGATAAATATTTTCGTTTTCTGTACTTTAGAACTTTTTGAAATTTATTTGTAATTAGAACAGAAGTAAAATTAATATTACTTGAAACCATTCCACAATTTGTCAGCAACTGACAGAAAATATATCTACAGTACTCACTGATTTTTACCCTTTAAATCTCGTTACCTTCGCTTCACTCGCTAAACCTCACACTCACGTGCTCTTCCGCCCCAGATGACGAAACATCGACTGCTTTTAATAGGCTGATTGCAACTCGCACGACAAAAAGAAGTAAAGAACAATTAACGGCACTTAAGTGTTCTTTCTATTTATTGTAAGGCATTCTAAATTGTTTTTAGTATAACACCAGTTAATTAGAGCAAATAATTTCATATCTTAAGCTCAACACTTTTCATTAAAAAATCACAAAATTTGAATAAATATAAAGCTGAAACGACGTGCTAAATAAAAACCTCTGTTTTAAATTCACAGACATCATTTTTTGTTGTTCCCGACTACCGAGGTTGCGAGTTAACACCCGCGGCAGCAGCGAGGTGCAGTAGTCCGGGCGGAGATTGAGTCCCCCCCCCTGCTGTGAGCCATTTCGCATGCGGGGTGCGTGCTGCATGGATGCGCGGGCGCTGCTTTACCTCCTGGATGCCGGGCTCGTTCTGCAGCACCAGCACGTTCTCGAGGTAGGCCTGGCCGCCCTCGGCGAACTGGTCCACGAACTGGGTGCCGCACGAGTCCAGGCGCACGGTGATGCTGTACTTGGTCTGGCCGCTGTTCTCGTTCACGTAGCGACACGCGTCCTGGCGGTAGAAACCCTGAGGCACGACCAAGCGGATATCATTAGTTATGCTTTCTTTAGAATGATCGATGAGTGCATTTCTTTATGGTGAAAAAAAACAACAACAGTTAAACATTATGCGTGGCGTACTTTGGGGGAAGAAATGCAATCTGCACACATTTTTTTGAGCTCTGAAATTCAATTCTCTAACTTTTATATACTATAATTGTAATTATCAACACAGGTAGCTACACACGTTTTGGCAAGATTTGACATTCATAAAAAGATTCGCTCCCGTGGCCTTTAATCACTTATCGTGTCCCAAAGGAAGGAATAAACTTATTTCCACGAGAAAATTGAAGACGATTGTTTATGTAAATGTATTCCTCATTGAAACATTCAAGAATACGTGCACAGAGAGTGCAGCTTCCTTTACGTTTAGAAGAAAAGCAGAGAACCATCTCAGCATTTTCTCAATGAATCAAGCGCAACTGAACGAACAATCTCGAGATGGGATTCAGATCTTTCTGGAAATAATTGTATAAGGATAAATTTTCTGTGAATATTTCAGAAGATTTTTAGTATGTAATTAATTCATATCTCTATTGAAATACAACAATAAGAATTGAGTGTCCGTGTAAAGCCACTTGACATTAAACACTTATCTAAGGCTTAGACTTATTTTGATTTTCAGAGTTCTCTTGTGTTTCACTTAATTTGTTTTTAGAATTATCACATTTTTTTCGAGTAGGCTTGTTAGCCAGCCTCGTAAGTGTATATTTAAATACATTGAAGGAGATTTTTCTTGTAATTATGATATAAAAATTCACGGAAGGAGATTTACATCGCACTTTTCATTCCACATTACACCAGCCATTACTGCGAGCTGTGAGAAGATGTGGCCCATTTCCCACGCAGTGGGTGTACATATTCGGCCCGGAAACAATTTTCGTGATTCAATGGAAATGTGTTTCCACACGCAAGCTTTCTTTGCATTTTTGGATGAGTCATAACTGGTTCTTTTCATGATAATAGCGGAATACAATTTCATTAACAATTCCTATTCCATTCTCTTTTCTTATCTTTTGTTTTTCAAAAAGTGGTTGTTTTTTTATTTTTTTGAATCAGATTTGAGACTTATAATGTTTTGAATCGCATATGGGTATTGCTATAAACAATAACAAGTGTTAGTGAGTCTAATAGAAAAGGACAAGCATTACGCTCTGTGAAATGTGCAGTTTAAGAAACGGTCGGTTGAACTCGTATGAGATTGTCTGCTTTGACTTTGAGATAGAGTATTTTCAATTCAAGAATCTATTCATAAATATGAAGTAAATGGTTCAAGTTGAAAATGTGACTCCGTACTGAGATCCAAACCACTCTCGAGAATCTTTTTAAGATATCCTAAGCACTTGGCCACTTAAATTGGAAATTTAAAAAAATCAAATACACCAAATAAACATTAAGAAAAATAAGGGGTTCTATAATATATACTAGATAAAGGGACGCTATCAAAAGCCCACTTTCTTTCATTATGATTTCCTCATATTTGCGTTCCCATCCACGACGGCAGTATTGGAGACTGTGCACTCTGACATGTACTTTTTTACTAAGAAATGGTTTTTCATAAATATAACCGCCTCACTTAGCCGAGGTACCCGGCATGCAGTCAACTGCAGCCTAAGAAATTTTGTACCGTCCCTTTTGTAATCTCCCGTCGTAACCCCTACGTCAGGTTGGTGTAGATGACGCCGTCAAAAGAATATTCAGAAAAGTTGAATAGTCGTTAGTCCGGATCTGCGAAATAAACCCGTAGGTCTCAGTTACCGTCGAGAGACTTGACAACGCCTTCGAAAATGAAGATGAGCAATCTCGATTGTCTCATTGATGTTTCCGGGCATGTGAACTACTATAGTCATTAATTTCGTTTATGTGATGAATGTTGCATCACGGAAGGAGGCGGTGTCCCTGCCCCGCTGGATGGTAGATCCGGCGCCAACCTCCACACCGCCTCCGACTGGACGAACTCTAACCTCGTGACTTCTCTCTCGCCATGTATGGTAGCGAAGGGCATCTCAATGTCAGTGTGTGTAGGACGAGAGTATAGGACAAGGAAGAGAAAGGGAACACCTTGCCGGGACCGGGGCCCGTTGTCTTGGGTACTACCCTGGCAATCTCCTGGTAATGAAAGGAGAAACCATGAAATATTGATTATCTGAGCAGCCGGACGCTACAACTCTCCTCCAAACAGCAAGTGAATTTGATACCTCGAATTAGCTAGAGTCGAAAATCCACCACTGACAAGACCGGAACCCTAGAACCTGCCGGTCAGAGTCGCTGCTGAGACAGCGGCAATGCTGACTTTTGAGCTAACTTAGCCGGTAGCAGTGGCGATGACACGCAGTCCACGAGAGCCTCACCTTGGAGTAGATGACTCCGTTGAAGGCGCGGTCGAACTCGATCTCGATGATCATCTGGTCCTTGGCGCACTGCACGTCGATCTTGTGGATGTGCGGCGGGTGCTGGCCGGCGTCGGCGGCGGGCTCCTTGGTCTCCACGTCGGCGCTGCCGCTGACGGTGGCGTCGGGCAGCGCGGTCTGGCCGTCGCCCAGCAGGTCGGTGCCGCCGTCGTCGCCCACCGGCGGCTCGTAGGGCGGCGGCTGCTGCGAGGTGGTGGGCTGCGGGAAGGGCGGCTGCGGGCTGGGCTGGTACGGGTAGCCCGTGGCGCCGTCGGGGGCGGTGGGCGCGTCGGGCGGCGCCGTGGCCGACGGGTTGGGCTGGAAGGGGCGTGGCCGCCCGGCCGCGTCGCCGTCGTCCGCCGGAAGGTAGTTGCGCGCGGGCTGCGCCTGCGCCGCTGTGTTGTCGCGGGCTGCCGAGGAATTCGCTCGTTATAAGTATGCACGTGGCGGAAATACACGGGCGAGTTCCTCCGGCGCACCACTTTTTGCCCGTTATGCGCAACACCAGTGTACGACACGTGACCACAGCACTTCGTTTGAAAGACCAGACCAGACGCTCGCCGCCATGTTGCAAAGAGAGCGATTAGTGTTGAGAAACATTTTAAAAGTGCTACAAAGTGACCATTTTAACGGTAACCAATCCAAAATAAGACGATGAAGGTGTATAAGATGCAATATTTAAAAGAAATGCTTCATATATCTGTTTCAATGACTTCCACAGACTGATACTTTTGGTATCTGTCGCATGTAAACTTCCCGCTAATATTGTGACGCAAACTGGTGTCTGAAGCTCATTGGATGAAGTCGAATACGATGCGCAAGAGCTCCGCCTCCCCCCACTGAGTATATATTCGCAAGCACGTAGTGAATATCGACATTCACTCGAACGTAGTGCATATCGATTTTCCTGCAAATTACTATCGATATGCGTCCAAATGATTACTACTCTTTACATGTATGTATTTGCAAGGGCTTAGTGAATATCTGCATTTGCTAGAACGTAGTGAATTGGGGCACACGCTATCGATACGCGTGCAAATAATGTAGCGGTTGCGCTTGCGCTGCCGTGCTGTTGCGGGCTGCGAAGGCATTCGCCCCCCACTTACTTCTCATTACATTCATATATTCGTAAGGTAGTAGTGAATATCTATATTCGGGCATACTGTTATCGATACGCATAGTTTAGGGTAGTTTCCGCCAGCACCACCGTGGCCAATACTTCATCCTTATAACTGTATTCACCCTTCTGTCGTTTAACCAGTTGACGTGTAATTTCGTGTGTAGTATATGAAATAAGCCTTTAATGTACGTACACAACTGGAAAATTCTTATCACATATTTTTATTATAAGTGTCTGTATTTTAAATAGTTTGCTTGTTAGGTGTCTTTTAAACACTCACTAATCATTTCATTCACTGTAATCACATTCACTCTGATTTCAATTCACTCATTATTCACTCATTAATGAGTACACAATATTAGTGCCATACGTTTGTGATATAATTTAGCTCAATTCTACCAGCGTTCGAAAATATTTTTTGCAATAAAAGAACGTAGTTTCTGAAATGCATTACACACAGAACTTACTGTGTCTACATGCCTTTCGTTCTCAGCTAGGTAACTCAAAGTTTGAACTACGATATATTTACTTAAGAAGTTTGCAATCTACATTTTTTATTATCCTTACGGCTCGAAGAAGGAAAAGTGGCATATTGGTTTAAACAAAGTGCTCAGAGTAAACACTGCATCCATAAGTTTCGTGACGGTTTATGTCGAACGCTTCGAGGAGGCGAGGAACGCCGGATTCGACGAGGGGTCGTTAAGGATGTTCCCGGAAGAGATCCCGGCCCGGAGAAGCGCTCGAGTCTGTTTGCCAGGCAATCCGCACGAGCGCCGTCGCTCGCAGTCCAAACACAAGCGCTTTCCCTGGGAGAAGCTCCGGAGAAAGCGCATTCGCTGCACCGCGCTGCATCTGCTTGCAGCAGGCGGCCCCTGCGCCCTGAGCCACAGCCTCCCCGAAACTTTGCTTCGCGGGGTTATACTCCGATTAAAGCATAATGACACTTCAAGGTCATGAAGAGGACATTGTCAACTATAGGAAGCTTTGATACGACTTAAATTGTTAGTATTGGAGCTCCCGATTGAATGAAAAATCTTCATCTCCTTCAAGATCATTATCTTTATTATGTTTAAAACGTAGTATAGTGAGTGATGTGCATCAGCTCCAATGCGACAACCACGTTGACTTTCTAGCTTATGGTCGTGTAGCCTTGCGTTACATCTTCTCAATTCACAACACACAATAACTAGCAATCCTGCATCACCACTTGTATTATTTGTCCTGTTATATAATGTTATAATATTAGATAATCCTGTGCGATAATTACACGCGTTTGAACTCGATGTCGTAACGTAGGTTGTCAGCTAACGACGAGCTACTTCACTTGAGGGTGATCTCTTTGACATAATTCATACTTGTGTGGGCGTTATCACCATGAAAAAGGCTTTACCGGAATGGGATTGGATAGATTAATTAATTATTGCGAGTTTCCTGGCGCGTCAATGCCATAATCATAGATTACGTAAGTGTAGCGCGCGGTGTATACAGTGAGGTGGCGGTGTTCTCCCGCGCTGGAACGTGAGATCCGACGCTGATCTACATGCTAGTTTGTGGTTTTGGCCATCTTGATGTATCCCCCCTCCTACGAAGCACCTCCCTCGTCGGGACAAGAACTAAGCTTCAGATGTAGTACATGCAGTTGTTAGTGTGTGTGTGTGTGTGTGTGTGTGTTTGTAAGGGGAGAGGAGGGAGCAAGTATGAAGAAGAAGTGACAGCGCGCGTCCCATATTCCGTTTGTTAGGTTATTGCTCCGGCATTCACTTAGTATTCTTCTGAAGAAACACGAAAAACATTGTTTTAGTGAGGTAATGTTTTGATTAAGCTATAGAGCTTGAGCATCTGCCACCGCCGGAGGTAGTATCCTAGGATCTTCCGGACAACGATGCTAAAGATGCAAAGGTGATGCCGAGGTGATGTCGCAGCCGGGCTGTGGCAGCCTCGAGGTTTGTTAAGAGAGGTAGAGATCTAGAGATCTCGAATATTTTGCTACGTAGAGTTCATCTTTCATATTAATTTCACAGAGACGTCTTATCACATTTCTCTTATACGTAGCGAAGTTATGGCATTGTTGATTATAGCCAGTAGAATTTTAAAATGTATTTTAAGAGTTTTTTGTTGTGTTTTTAAATTGAAAATTTTCAACTATTCTATTCTTATGAGAAAATCAAAAAATTAAGTTTTCAAACAAATTAGACCGATTTCGCAAAACAAGCTTTTGCAAAGTCTCTCCTGAGACGGTCTTCTCGTAACCGACTCAAAGAACTCTGGCTTCAAGTCGCAAGTTCTACCAGTCCAAAATGTATACTGGTATTCACCTTCTTTTGAAAAGAAAAATAGTTTCCAAATTTATGATATTTCTATATATACTCTTAAAACACTTATTCGAAATAACGATTAAATTCAAAATCAATGTATCAAATAATACAACAACGACCTCTAAATCTGGAACAATTGAATTATTGAAAAATCTTGTAACGAAAAATATTAATCTAATATTTTGGTATGTTTCACGGAGTGTTCGAACTTAATTTATTACTTTTCTGAACTTCATTGAAAAATAACATTTACTATTCCTATTTTTCTCGTAAGGAAACATATATCTGAATTCTGAAGGAAATTTTTTGTCATAAATTTTAAAGTTTCCCCTCCTTTCAGAAATGTAGTCGCCTTTAAGAATAAAATATTCCCCCCGTAGGGTTGCGAAACACCCTGTGGGATTCGTTCAGCGGCAGCTCTCAAGGCTCGCGGGGTCTTGTTAATATTGTAGAGCGCGTTGAATGCAAAGGTCGTTTGCTGAAGCTGCCGCAGTCGCGGAGAACATCGCTTACTCACCCTTTCGGCCCGGCTGCACGGAACGGCCCTGCAGCCACTCCAGAATGGTGCGCACCGTCAGGTCGGTCTGCGACTGCGACTGGGACTGCGCCGCTCGCACCTGGCGAGCCACTGCAACACGCGCGCGGGCGCCGGATGTCAGTGGGGCCGCAGGGGGCGGGCTCCCTCCTCACAGCCAACACTTGCACTTTCAGTCAGTTTATTCGAAATAATTTACATATGTGTAGGCTAAATGATACTAACTTCTCGGACATCTTTGTAGAGTCGAAGATGAACACGTGACATTTGTTCCGGATTCGAACTCATTATGCGCAGGTGTTTTGAAAAGACACTTCGTAACAAAGTCAATGATATTATGTTTTCCTGCCGAACCCCTGTGATTGAAGTGTTGTATAACAATTCGCGTAAAGTGTAGCGTTTGTAAATTATTTATACAGGTTTCTCAGAGAAAAATGTTACCAACTTCTAGGGAACGTAACAGAGATGAAAATAAACACATTCAGACATGAATATACAATACAGTGGAAAACAAAATAACGGATTATATGCATTTACCCATGTGACTCCTAAATTTTATGCAACCCCTTATACGCAAATAATCGGCAGGTTTATGAAATCTTGATTACGTCAGTACGTCAGCTGCTGAAAATCTGTGCATAAGGAGTTGCCTAAAAATCAGGGGAGGCGACAAATGTGCAACTGTACATGAGATGTAGCAAAATTAACATGTAGTTCATTTCGCTTCATGCCCTAGAAGTTTGTAAAAAAAATGGAAAGGTTTGAATCGTCAATGTCACTTGTAAGCTAATACATTTCCACGTTGTTTGGTGAATCGGATGCATTCGTAATGTCGAGTAAATATTTCTCCAAAAGACACTCGAGTCAGAGGACATTCTGTTGATATTGTTTCTATCAATATCATTCTCAAAATCTGTATCTACTCAACATGCAACTAAATAATTTCTATGAATGCCATACAGCGTGAAAATTCAAATGTGGAAAGACAGATTATAGGATATTAAAAAGCTCCGAGAGCTACTCCTGCCAAATGTGTGTGTGTGTGTGTGTGTGTGTGTGTGTGTGTGTATGTGCCACACCAGTTAACAACAAAAGTATTTTTATTAATCGAAATGAAAATAATTACTTAATCTCCAGGAAGTATATTTAAAACTCAATATTATTGTTATGGTTTCATTTGTTAGAAGTAGTTCGTACTTACCTTCACCGAGTTTCGCGTCCAGCGTGGCCGGCTCCAGAACGTCGTTTCGGTAGTAGAGCGCCTGGCCGCTGGCCGCGCTGTGCAGCGCGCACAATGTGCTCTGCAACAGAGAGGTCGCGGTCACTAGGT